TTTGAGCTTTGGAGCTCTAGAAATCGGAAGAAAATGGATTAAGTTCGTTTGAGCTATTCCGACCAGTCCCTGCGACCTGGCCTTAGGCTGCCACATCGTGGCGACTGGGGAATCTTCGATTATTTTGGCATGTAGTGCCCATGACGTGGAGGGCTGCTGATTGGCAATTTTGACCTTGCTTTGACCGTTGACTTTTTGACAAGTTTGACTTTTGATCAAACTTGAATAGAATTGAGCATTTGACTAAGGTCTAGTCTCAGTTTGGTTTTAGTAAGCTTGGGTTGGCTGTTCTAATGTTGAGGTAGTTTTTGGGCTTCTGTTGAGTAGTTCAGGTGAGTCTTCTCACTATACTTGTGGGTCGAAAGCACCAATACTGACCCACTAGATTGTGTTATGTAGGCTCTTGGTTGTCTTTGTGACTCTCACATGTATGATTGGGTTGAAATAAACAACAGGGATAGGCCCAGGGGCTGGGCCCATAGTCATATGTTTGGGTTGAAAGAAACCCCACGGATGGGCCCATCAAGGTGTGGGATATGTTTTGGTCGTTCAGGGGAATGTTTCTGTTAACGGTTGAGGTTTGTCATTTCGATTAGATATACTGGTACTTCCTCCTTTGGGTAAGGTTGTGAGGATGAAGTAATGCAATAGATCTAGGGTTGGTTGTAGGTTCCCTTGAGGGTTGAGTACCTGTAGCCCCATGTGGTGCTGGTCGTGAGTCTCCATGACAGTGATGGAATGACAACAATTTCGGCATAGTATCGTTAGCTTATCGTTCTAGTGGTTAGAGGGTGTTACGATGTATCGTGAACCAGTGATGGAATGACTCTTTTAGATGGGACCCGATAGTCTATGATTGCAGACTCTTAGGTCTCGGATCATTAGTATTGTGGTCAGGGTTGGGTGTTAGCGCATCTTTGGGTTTCAGGAGACTCAATGACCAGCTGGTTTGGACCATGTGGATAGTAGAAGTTTGTTCGGAGTATTAGTAGGGAATCAAAAGTCTCTTGCTGAATGTTTGCACTATAAACCTGTTTTCTTGCGGGCTGGTTATTAGGAGTTTGGTTACCAATGATTTGGTATTGGTTCTGAAATCTCGAGTCATGAAGTTCGCTGAAAATGTCTCGAGTGATTCGTCAGGTGGATGTACACCTAAGCTGATGAGGGATTTGGATGCAATGTGAGATTCTTGGATTGACCATCATTATGCTCATGGGAGCAGCGGGTTGGCGATGACTTGTTAGGAAGTCAAGTGTACATTTAATGTTTTTGGACACAACTTTCGGGTTTGGGTGAAATTTGTGATCGAGATCTTTTGGGTATTCTTTCTGCATGGTTTGGTGGTGTTCCTAGTCAGGGACTAGGGGTAAGTATGCCAAATGGATGATCATCAATCTTAGGGTATGGTTTCTGGAGTTTAGACTGATGGTTTCCCAGTTTTGGGAAGATTATTGATGGAGTTGGTTTATAGTTCCAGTTTTTGAGAAGTTTCCCGCCTTGAGTAGTTGTCGCTATGAATTGGGTCTTGCAGATGGGGAGGAAGAGGTAGTTGTTTCCATTGAGTGCTTCCAAGTGTTGGATTGTTTGTTAGCATAATTAGGGTTTTGAGTGGTCTCTCGAGTTTTCTTTATGAATAGCTTTTGTCAGTTGGACTCTTGGTTGAAGTCTCGTGGTGCAGTCGTGTGTGAGGTCATCAACTTCAACACCTGATCAGAAATTTGGTGCATCAGTCATTTGGTAGGTTATTGTGGAACCAGGAGAATCTCGGTTAGATCAAAATGCAAATCTTTGGTTAACAAGATGTGATTTATATGTTGGTTTGGCATCAAGGGTTGAGTCTTATGTTGGGATTCGTCTTCGTATTCGAATGTAAGGTTGCCGACAACGACAAATGGTTAGGGTACTGATTTCCATGTATCAGTTGGATAATTCAGGGTCTGATAGGTTTGTTCTAATCAGGGTTGCAGTGTGGAGTCATTATGGTTGTGGTTTGTAATGGTTTTGTATGTCTGTATGTCAGACATGGTTTGCGGTTTTTCCAGTTTTTGGGTGGGGCGGTTGGATTTCCTTTTGTTGTCTGGGGGCGGAATGTTAAGGTTCGTTCTTCATCAAGACACATGGTTTCTGCTGAGTCCAGGCTTCATTAGTAGTGTTGGTAGGCCATCATCTGGTGTGGCAGAGTAAGTTGTAAGGAATGATTCGAGGACGAAATCTAATTTAAGCGGAGGATAGTTGTAACACCCGTGTTCCAAGATTGGTTTAGCTTAATATTTATCAGGTTCCAAAGATGGATTTTTAGGAAAACTCTAATGCCACGACATGGCGCAAGGATGCCCACGACGTGGCATAGAAGAAATGGAACACATGTTTTAATGAGTTCCACGACGTGGCAATAGAGGCCACAGTGTGGCACTTGTTCTGGACCAAGCCCGAAATTTTAGGGTTTCCTCCCATACTTAAACAACATTTCCATAGGATTAGGGCATCCTCTTCAGCCTCCAACCCATTACCTCAAAACCATAGCCTCCCTTAAATATTTTTGGTCCATTTTGATATTCTTGGTGCCTTGAAGAAGAAGAAGAAGAAGGTGTTTTGGAACATTAATCCAACAAGCATCATCATCATCATCTTGTGCATATTCTGGACCCTTGTGAGTTTTCAAGTTCCCAACTTTTTGGTTTGTGCTTCTCGATCTAGTGTTCTTGTCCATTTTCTTCATGATTGTGAGAGTTGAAGGAATGGACTCCATAAAGTTGGAAACTTTATGGATCCTTGAGGTCCATTTGAGGTTATATGTTTCAGATCTTGTGTTCCTTGGTGTATTTAGCCTCATGTGCAAGTTTGAACCATTTTCTTCCTTGGATTTGACCTATTTTGGGGGTAAACATGCAGTGGACATGCATGTCCATAAAGCATATATTTTTATGGTGTATTTTGGGTATGAAGGTCTTCTGGAAAGTTTGGTGGGGTGTCTTGGTGGATTAAGAGCTTAATGGGTTAACTCATGCCTCGTGATGATATTAAGGACTTAGGGTTAGAAGTTTTGGCCTATTGGGATGACTCAAGGGATAAAGTTGGAAAATTTATCCATTAAGTCCTTGGAATGGACCAGATATGAGACTTGGAGCTCTTGAAATCAGAAGAAAATGGATTAAACTCGTTTGAGCTATTCAGACCAGTCCCCACGACGTGGACTTAGGATGCTACAGTGTAGCGACTGGGGAATCTTCGGCTGTTTTGGAATTTAGTGCCCACGACGTGGAGGGCTGCTGATTGACAATTTTGACATTGCTTTGACCGTTGACTTTTTGACAAGTTTGACTTTTGATCAAACTTGAGTAGAATTGAGCATTTGACTAAGGGCTGGTCTCGGTTTGGTTTTAGGAAGCTTGGGTTGGATGTTCCAATACCGAGGTAGCTGTTGGACTTATGTTGAGTAGTTCAGGTGAGTCTTCTCACTATACTTGTGGGTCGAAGGTACCAATGCCGACCCACTTGGATTGTGTTATGTAGGTTGATGGTTATATTTGTGACTCGTGCACGTATGATTGGGTTGAAATAAAACCTAGGGCTAGGCCCCAGCGCTGGGCCCATAGTTTTATTTTTGGGTTGAAAGAAACCCCAGGGCTAGGCACATTGATATGTATTGGGTCGCAATATACCCTAGGGTTGGGCTCATGATTGTATGTTGGGTTGAAACATAACCCATTACTAGAACCATGATTGTATGTTGGGTTGGAATATATCCGAGAGTTAGGTCCACTGATTTGTATGGGATATGATATTTTGGGAAACGTACTAAGCTTTTGTGCTTACGATTTTATGGTTTAGATTTTTTCAGGTACTTCCAGTTTCAAAATGAAGAACCCGGCTTGATCGCACTACATCCCGGAGATTCATACTTTAATGATAGTTTATGATTTTACTTTTCTGATCGTCTTTTGGGATTATAAATGGATTATAAATGAATGATTTTGACTTATTTTAAAAATGAAAATTTTACTCGGTATTTTTGGGATGTTACGCTAAATGTTTGGTAATCAATTACGTGAAATAATCTTCAGTTCCACTTATTTGTTACAATTATTATCTATATTATTATTTTAATTTAGCAATTTTGTATTACTCGGATTATAACGTAGTTTACCTTTATAATTAATAAAAGAACAGGTTTGAATTGTAGCATATATATATATATATATATATATATATATATATATATATATATATATTATATATATATATATATATATATATATATATATATATATAATTTAAAAAGGGAATAATTAAAAAAGAAAAAACAATATTTTTTCAAAAGTTCAAAAAAAGAACCACAAAATTTTGGTAATACGTTTCAACGCTGCCGCAGACATTGTTACATATTATAGTCGCTTTTAATTACGAAAAAACACTATGTGTGTTTTTCCAAAATATCGGTTTAACCACCAAAAACACTATGTGTGTTTTTCCAAAATATCGGTTTAACCACCAACTTATATAGGTGGTTTTTTAACACTGAAAACTGATGATTTTTTTTTAATACAAATACAACTTATAATGGTAAAAATTAAAATTTTTTAGCACAAAAAAATTAGATTGTTAAGTGGTTAACCAAAGAAAATGACAAAATAAAATAGTTTTTTAGTCACAAGTTAAAGCTAATAGCATAACTTAAATATAGACATTAAATTTGACCAACTATTAGTTGAAAACTTGACGAGGTTTTAAATTAAGTAAACATGAATCGGTTATCTTATTAATCTTATATTAATAATAAAGATAAATATTTAATAATGAAAGATTATCGGACGTTATCAGCGATAGGAAAAGACATACTTGTATGTTTATGCTTAAAGATGACATTTATATATAGTTTCATACAAGTAAGATTATCTCGACATTTCCCACCACCTCATATTTATGCATATCACACACAAAAACAACCGACGTTATATATGCACGTGCTGACGTGCACCACATATATATACATACACACTTCACTTCTGGTTGAGCCTGGCCGCTGCCGCCATCGACGCACTAACCCCACCGGGGTACGTAGCCAACTCCGGCTGGTTCCTAATCTCCGCCCCAATCACCCCCTCAGCATCCTCCCTCGTCACTGCTTTGTCTCTCGGCAGCAATGTACTCGCATCCTGCATCCATATTATATCGACTCAGTTCTTCAACTGATTTTCTTCCTGTTAATTTACAGATATCAAGAAACTCGATCAATACTTACCACCAACACATCTCCAAGCTTTGTCTTGTCCTCATCACGCATAGTTCGGGCGTTCTGAGAAGCCGCAGCCTGAGCTTTCGCTGCCACGCCACCCGGTACCACCTGCATACGACCGGTTGCTCGGACTTCTGCCGCTTGTATGGCTGCAGCATCACTCTGGTCTACCGGTTTCTCTCCAGCAGATAAGGCAGCAGCCTCCAGTGCTTCTCCAATTGTAACCTGATCGTCACCGCCGGAGATCAGCGGAGCAGGAGATGACGCCGTATTGGTTCCTACGTATTGTCCCACCACCTGTAAAATTTCAAAACTTCAACTTAATTGTGTGGAAGTACTCGATTATAAATAAAAATGTGAATCAAAGTTCAAGTTCTATATATTCTTTGCCTCTCCGCCGACAGACTCGGTTACGATGTGATGACCGGCGACTACAGCTTCGGATACAGTGACACCTTGATCTCCGGTGGCGCTAGTTACGTCGTAATGGCTTACGACGCCGCGGCTCTCATTGACCGAAGCAGCTGACTGCATGATGGCGGCAGGTCCGCCTTTCTGGGTTTTACCTAGAACCATGTTCTCGGCGGTTTGCATGGTTGCGGCATCTTGTGGGGTGATGGGTTTGTTGGCTATTTCACCGGAGACTTGGAATACGTCGCCATATGTGATGGGCACTTGGTCTTCAGGTTGTGGTCGTCTTGGTTGTCCCTGACTCATTTTCGTCTTGAGGAAAAATAAAACGACGGTTGATGTGTAGTCGTTAAGCGTGACTGAAAAGGTATATTTATAAAGTGGAGAAGTTGTTTTTAAATTGCAAGGCAGACGATTGGCACGTGGAAACTGAGTAGGAAAGCCACGTCAGTTTATGGTCTGCTACGTACGATTACTGATCAACACTTGTCGATAATCAAATAGACGTGGCGTTTTGACTTTACATCATAAATTGCCAATATTATTAGGCCGGACAGAGTGGACCGCGGGATCGGTTCCCGCATGAAGACACACCGCACCGTGGGTGCGGGAAAGGAGTAGCGGGAAGAGGGCGGGGCGGGGGGGGGGGGGGGGGGGGGGGGGGTTGAGTCCCGCTCTCTCTCTCTTCTAACCATTGGCTGTACGATTTTTTTTTTCTTTTTTTATTCCAAACGGCTATATAGCCGTTATAGATATATATATATATATATATAGATATATATATATATATATATATATATATATTCTTTTTTCTTTCCTTTTTCTTAACCTATAAATACTCAAACATTCTATCATTTTTTTTAACCCATAACCTATATTTCTCTCTAAAAAATATAATTCAAAATGTCATCATCTTCATCATCCGATTCGACGGCTGTAGAGGAGGCTAAGTTTATCGGTTCCGTCATGGCGAAAACGGTTGCATACTATCAAAACCGACTAGGCGAAACATCACGTGCACGACCTAACCTAAGAAAGCCGCCGTTACGTAGAAATCACGAAGCCGGACACGATCGCCTTATAGAAGATTATTTTGCAGATGATGCCATCTACGCTGTAAAGTTTCGACATCGGTTCCGGATGAGGAAGGAACTATTCTTACGTATTGTTGGCGATTTGGAAGGCCGCTTTCCATATTTCCAATGGAAAATAGATGCAAGGGGGAAAAAGGTTTCTCTCCCATTCAAAAATGCACGACTTCAATTCGTCAGCTAGCATACGGCATGGGCGCAGACAAATGGGACGAGTATTTTAGGATGTCAGAGCGTACCATGCGGGAGTGTGTGTACAAGTTCTGCAAAGCGATCTGTTTGGTCTATGGGCAACGATATTTGTGCAAACCAACTATCAACGATATCCACCAATTGTATACGGTGCATGAATGCAAGCATGGATTCCCTGGAATGCTAGGTAGTATCGATTGCATGCATTGGAGTTGGTCATTATGCCCCAATGCATGGCGTGGTCAGTACATGAGAGGCGACCACAAAGAGCCGACGATCATTCTAGAGGCTATCGCATCACATGAGCTTCGGATATGGCATGCATTCTTTGGTCCAGCTGGTGCAAACAATGACATCAATGTGCTAGACCAGTCGCCGGTATTCAACGATATCTACCTTGGAAAGTCACATGATGTACCTTTTCAAGCAAATGGGGTAGCATATAAGCGTGGATATGATGGGTTTTAGGTACAACAAATAAACTAGAAAACAATTCCTAAGTTCACATGCAACCTACTTTGGATCTATGTTTTAACTATTGAACATACAACATTGAATTGCAAAACAAGAACCCTAGAGGAGAGAGGCTAATTTCAAAATTAACAAACTAGGGTTTAGGGTTTACATACCTTTCAATTGTTATAGCAAACAATTGATATTCCCTTGGTCTTGATCTTGATCTTCTTGGAAGCTTTAGCACCACAAGTGTAATGCCTCTAATGGAATCACACCCAAACTAGCAAGAAGGAAAGTAGAAGAGAGAGGGGAGAGGGAGTATGCAAAATCTCGGCCTTAGGGTTTCTTCAAAAGAAAGAGTGACCAAAAACATGAACCAGGAGGCTCCTTATATAGCTGAGGGATCTAGGGTTTAAGGGAAACCCTAGTTATCCTTTGCTTAGGGCCTAAGCAAACCCAAGGGCCTTATCCAAGCCCCTATGGACGAAATTATTAGGGTTTCCCCTAAAGATTTCGTCCACCCTCTTCCAAGGGGGTTCTAGAGCCTTCCACTCAACTATTAGATAATTGCAAACTAGTCCCTGCACCTTATAATTAATTCTTTTAACCCCAAAATCAATTCTGATTAATTTCTGGCTAACAATTAATTAAACATAATGATTTCTAATTAATATATTAATCCAATAACATATTAATAAATCATTTATATATATATATATATATATATATTAATTTATTAATCTTATAAATTAATATCTCTCCTTTCATAATTTCCTTGTCCAGTTGCTAGGTTGAGGGCAACCCAAAAGGACTGTGCTGCTATCAATTCAAGTACATACCAATTATAGTTATGGGCTTAGACACCTAATCCAACAGTCTCCCACTTGGATAAGTCTGTAACTATAATTGCTAGTATGCCTTCTAAATTTGACCAGCAAATTGTAGCTTCCAAAAGCTGCTGCCGAACTCTGACCCAGTCAGTTACGTGTCCTAAGATAAGTGATCATATAATCCTTCGTTCTGCTGGATATCCCTAGACATAAGACATGGAATGTAATCAATCTCTTTGTCCAGAATCTATGTTTCCCGATTCCTGATTTGTGATGATGTAGGACTTCTAATTGAACACATCAATTTAGTCCTGGCTGGGCCCAGCACATAAGTCAACACCAAATCATCGAGGGGCCCACAGATATCGCTTTTCCTGTTAGGGCAAAAGGAACGAATAAACGTTGACTCATATGCTTGTATCTTTTACTCATCAAATTATACATGACAATACGTTTTATAACACCAAGTTACTGATGCGTTTTCGTATCACCAATGCATAACCGACTTGTAAATTACAACTCATATATCTTCGTTTCAAGATTATAAGATATTATCGTCTCAGTATTACTCGTGATGAATTCCATGAAGTAATACTCTGAGCGAGGGTTTATCCAATACTCAAATCTCAATTTCTGAGTACTCATGAACATTGCAGCAATTCTATTGCCATGTCTATCCTTAGACAATCTGCAATCCAATTCATGACAGTCTTAATTCACTACTTACTTCCAAGAGTACGAGCGACTGTGGAGTTTGAATAATCTCATTATTCAGGAAGTAAAACATGCAAAAATGAAACACAATAATAAACAATTGACAAAAGGTAGTAGCCAAACTTATAAATAATACTTTATTATTTAATCACCAAAAGTCAATTACATTTACTTTGTTACAAGTTTCAAAAAACTAATCTAACTACTAAAACTAATATCATCTTTCAGTCCTATGCTCCGAGCATGCTGAATATGCTTAGCCCTACTCAGACCCTTTGTGAGGGGATCTGCTGGGTTATCTTCAGATGACACCCTCTTTACTATAAGATGGCCTTCTTCAACTCTATGTCTGATGAAATGGTACTTTCTGTCGATATGTCTGGTCTTACCATGATCTCTCGGTTCCTTTGTCAAGGCAACCGCTCCTTCATTATCGCATAACAGTTCCATAGGCTCCTGGATGGTTGGAACAACTCCGAGATCCCCGATGAAGTTCCTCAACCAAGCTGCTTCTTTCGACGCTTCACTTGCTGCTATGTACTCTGATTCACAAGTAGAATCAGCCACCGTATTTTGCTTGGAACTCTTCCAAGTAACTGCTCCTCCATTCAGTAAAAACCCAGCCCGACTGAGAACGGAAGTTATCTCTATCCGTCTGAAAGCTGGCATCACTGTAACCATCTACTCTCAAAGTATCACTGCCACCAAGCACAAGGACCCAGTCCTTTGTCCTTCGCAAATACTTGAGTATATTCTTAACTGCTATCCAATGAGCTCTACCTGGGTTTCCCTGATAGCGACTGACCATGCTCAAAGCAAATGCCACATCAGGGCGAGTACATGTCATAGCGTACATGATCGATCCGACAGCGGAAGCATAAGGTACACGACTCATGTCATCTATTTCAACATCTGTACTCGGGCATTGAGTCTTACTCAATTTGGTATTGCTCTGGATAGGTAGCTCTCCCTTCTTGGAATTTTCCATACTAAACCTCTTTAGTACCTTATCCAAGTATGTGCTCTGACTAAGTCCAATTAGTCTCTTCTTTCTATCTCTCAATATTCTAATCCCAAGAATATAGGCAGCTTCTCCAAGGTCTTTCATGGCAAAACACTTTCCAAGCCAAGACTTAACTTCTTTCAAGGTTGGAACGTCGTTACCAATGAGTAATATGTCATCGACATACAACACCAGAAAAGTTACTATACTCCCACTAGCCTTGATATACACACAAACTCATCTTCACTTCTAGAGAAACCAAACTCTTTGACTTTCTCATGGAAGCAAAGATTCCAACTGCGAGATGCTTGTTTCAATCCATAAATGGATTTCTCAAGCTTGCACACTCTATTGGGGAACTTTGCATCAACAAAACCCTCTGGCTGACTCATGTAAACATCTTCAGCCAACTTCCCATTAAGGAAAGCAGTTTTGACATCCATCTGCCAGATTTCATAATCATGAAAGGCAGCTATGGCGAGCAATATCCTAATAGATTTAATCTTAGCCACTGGCGAGAAGGTCTCATCATAGTCAACCCCTGGGGTTTGAGTGAAACCTTTTGCAACCAGTCGAGCCTTGAATGTGTGCACATTTCCATCCATGTCTGTCTTCTTCTTGAAGATCCATTTGCACCCAACTGTCTTACGACCTGGTGCACTATCAACCAAATTCCAAACTTGGTTGTCATACATGGACTTAATCTCGCTGTCCATTGCCTCTTTCCACTTGGAAGCCTCTGGGCCTGCCATTGCTTCCTTATAAGTGACTGGTTCATCTAAGTTTACCAGTGTTCTGTCACTTATGAATGTGTCACCATCTGAAGTAATATGAAAACCATACAACTCAGGTGGCACACTCACCCTAGTGGATCTTCTAAGAGGTAATGAGTTATCGATTGGTTCAACAGGAACTGTTTCCTCTGGTTGAGTGCTAGTGTCATCTAAGGTTCCTTCATTGGCTGAATCTTGAATTTCTTCAAGGTCAATAGTGCTCCCACTGTCCTCTTTGAATATGAGCTCTCTTTCAAGAAAGACTCCTCTTCGTGCTACAAAGACCACGTTTTCACTAGGCCTGTAGAACAAATATCCAAAAGACTGCTTTGGGTAACCAATGAAAACACATTTCTCACTTCTAGCTGCTAGCTTGTCGTGAGTCTCTCGTCTTACGAAAGCTTCACAACCCCAGACTTTAATGTGTGCTAACGAGGGAACTTTCCCTGTCCACATTTCGTGAGGTGTTTTGGCAACCTTCTTTGTAGGGACAAGATTGAGGATGTGGGCGGCTGTCTCTAAGGCATACCCCCAGAAGTGAATGGGAAGCGAAGCCCGACTCATCATAGAACGAACCATGTCTAACAAGGTTCGATTGCGCCTCTCAGCTACACCATTTAACTGTGGTGTCCTAGGAGGAGTCAATGTGAGACTATCCCACATTCTTTCAGATAGTCGTTAAACTCGATACTAAGATACTCCCCGCCTCTATCGGATCTAAGTATCTTTATCTTTCTGCCCAATTGATTTTCGACTTCATGCTTAAACTCTTTGAACTTTTCAAAAGTTTCTGACTTATGCTTGATCAAGTAGATATATCCATATCTGCTATAATCGTCAGTGAAAGTCACATAGAATCGATTAGCATCTCTTGTAGTTGATCTGAAGGGCCCACACACATCTGTGTGTATGAGATCCAACAGACCTTCACCTCTTTCACAAGACCCTGTGAATGGTGATTTTGTCATCTTTCCCAAAAGACAAGATTCACACATATCATCTGACTTTAGGTCAAATGATTCCAACACTCCATCCTTTTGGAGTTGGGCTATGCGTTTCTTGTTAATGTGTCCAAGACGACAATGCCACAAGCATGCCTTGTCTACACTATTAGACAAGTCAATATTAAGTACACTATTTCCTAGGCTATCAACACAAGTCACTGTTTCATACACACCATTACAAGGCAAAGCTTCAAACATAAAAACACCATTCTTATAAACAGAAATTGAACCATTCAAATCATTAAAAGAATATGTAAAACCTTGTCTGAACAATGCATGAAATGAAATAATGTTTCTCGTCATCTCAGACGAATAGCAACAATTTATTAAATCTAATCTAACATCATTACTAAGCAGAAGCTGATAAACTCCGATCTTGGTTACTGGTGAAGACTTTCTGTTTCCCATGATCAGGTTTATCCTTCCTCGCTCTATCTCCTCACTTTCCTTTAGACCCTGCAAATCAGAACAGATATGAAAACCACATCCTGTATCAAGGACCCATGAACGAGAAGATAATGAGTTATTAGCAGAAATAGTGTAAATACCTGCCGAAGATGGCTTCACTTTGCCATCCTTGATATCTTGCAGATATTGTGGGCAAGATCTCTTCCAATGCCCCTTTTGGTTGCAGTAAAAGCAAACTGCCTCTTTTGGATCAGAAACATGGGGAGTGGAACCATTGGGC